AGAAACTGTGTGTCAGACTTAAGACAAAGAAAAATCTGTGCCACAGACTGTTTGGTTTGTTTTTTTTTTCCTTACGTTACAAGACTTGAAATAAATTGCAAGTCACTCTACCTACATTTCTCCCTATTCCATTTACCCCTTTTGTATACTTTGCTTGGAAAAAAACTTCCATACCAATGTGACTGCTTGGCTTTCTCATAGATGTGACCAAGCTTCACTCAGCATTTTAAAAGCCCTTGTCTGGAGTTCCTCCCACTGTCAGAATGCCAACTGCCTTACTCAGTTTCATACACTGTGCATTCTCCTTCACTGTATTAACAAATGCACCTGAAGAGTTGAGGGAAGCACAGTAATGAATTCATAGGCTGAACAAGTAAGTTGCTACCATTTATTTACTTAAAATACAATTGCACTGGTAAGAGTGATTTGTACAAGTAACAGAGGCAAATGGTGCTCCTCAGATCTTTCCTCACCTGATTTCAAACAAAGCCCACCAGAACACTCACTCCATGGACAGGTCACAAAGTGGAACCAAAAGCTGGATGGTACCACCTTTTCAGCCTCTGTCCCCCACAGCACTGATCTCAGCCAGGAATTACTCATCAATTCAACAAGTCACCAGACTTCATTGCCCTGCACATTAACCCTTCACAGAGCAAAAATATGCGTTATTATTACTATGTTTGTTCTAAAAAGAGTTACAATAACAACAACAACAAAAATTTGTAGTTTATTCCTCAGAATAAGCTTGGGTTCAGAGATAATGCTGACCCATAGTAGCATGAGATGAATAGTTAGGATCAAGTAGAACTCATGACAGATTATGAAGCTCAACAGCATTGCTCAAAAAAGTTTCCAATGCCATAAATATACSAAAAAAGTTTACCAGCTAAGAGGCAGTCTTGCTCAGAGTGTAATAAAACCACTTAACAAGTAAACTGAAAACTAAGAGTTAGGTTGAAATCCACTCCAGTGACAAGCAACAGGTTCAGTTTCAATTAGTTGCAAAATAAACAACAGTGGCTTAAAAAGCTTTGACGCTGCTGAAAAAGTGAAGAGCACATCTACCAATCAATAGTCTTCAATAGATTTCATTAATCCACTGCTTTATTAATCTCTATCACAGCAGTAACTACATTTGTCCATGAAGACATATAAAATAAGCCCAGTAAGTGCTTAGTTGGTCAATCAAATAGCTACTGTCAATAAAAGTTTCCCTTCAAAATGCATCCCTTTCATAAACAGAGCATAAAAGATCAGGGTTTTTTTTTCCATAAAAGAAATCAGTAAACTGACTCCAAAGTGTGATTGTACTAATCTGCACAGAGAAAAGTTTCAGTCAGAACATAGTTACATGTGGCATAAGGAGGCATTCCCTAAAACATTATGCCTAATGACTAATAGATTAAAGCTAGCACAGGAGAAAACTACCTAGGTCTCTTTTGGGAAGTCATCATGATACTGAGCACATTTTGCCAAACCAAACTTAGGAAYGTTTTATTTTGCCTTTTTTTTTGTTGTTTAACTTAGAAATCTATGTAACCTGACTAGCTAAGTATGTTTCGGATGTGTTAAAGGAGGAGGCTCCATCATGTTCTTTTCTCTTAAAGAAGTTCCAAATAGCATTGCTCATCTCAGAGAAGTGATTTAATCAAAACTATTTACTAATGAACACTTCCCTGTCAGGAACGAACACTTCCCTGTCAGGAACATCAGCATTTGCATTACTTGTTCTAGTAGCAACAAGTTATGGAGAAGGACTTGGTTTCCCAGAAACTCAATGCAGCACTTTGGCTGAATCAGAACATCTGAACTCTTCTCCCTACATCAGTCATTATTTAATAGAAGTGTACCATCGGGTGAGTATTCAGGTCTGGAACACAGCTGACAGGCAAAGCTTTGGCAGGGAACCACAAAAATCCTCTTCAAAAATCAGAACAAGGAACAGACAGAATTCAGAAACTCTCATGTTGCTTTCTTGTTCTGCTCCTCTGGTGAGAAGGATGTTCCAGAGAGGTTTCCCTTGGTCTGTGCTTCTCCCTCCCTTAATGTAACCCACCCCTGGAGCTAAGGGAAGCCACATGAGTGTCACTGAAGGTAGCAGTCTGAAGAATCAAGATGACTGGAGGAAAAGAAAATCAATTTGGAGGTCAAGTTACCAGAACAACCTAACTGAACAGAACATCTACAAACAGACATAGTATGACCTCATTGGAGGAGAAGACATTAATCTGTCATTTAGACATTAATCTGTCATTTAGACTTGAAAAAGTTGGTCTCATGCAGACAAATGAAAACCAAAAATGCTGGACCAAGTACATTTCCAAATACTCCTAGAGCTGCAAGTCATAGACACCAACCCCTAATTAGTCATGGCATTTTTTCTCAGACATTTTATTTCCTGATAAAAGGTGGCAATGGCAAAAGAAATGGTTCAGAGTTACAAACAGAATTATGATTCCTAAGAGCATTCTTCTATTTAAATATTTTTTTCAAGATTTCTGAGTTTCTAAACATCTTGCACATCTTCATAAAATATCATTAAAACAAATCAATATTCATGCAGTCTTTTTATGCATAGGAGTCTAAATAAAATACATATGTATGTTTGGAGGTTTTGGGGTTGTTCTGTTTATTGGGGTTTTTTTTCTCTTTGAAGTTATTTTATATTCCATTATGAGACCACCCCAACAAGACCTTTTTGTAGTATTATTATAATAGAGCAAGATGTTCAGGCCATTTCTTATTACATTCTGAAGACAAGCAGGCCCATAGTGCAGGGGCATATGCATAAAAGAATGTCCTACCACTTAGGAACAAGTATCATGTTCAAGACACTCTGACTAGGGAAGAGAAGTCTGCACAAAGGTGCAATTCATCAATCTAGATTGAATTTTTATCATCAAATCCTTCATTGAGTATTCTGTTCCTTTCAGGAAAGTCTCATGTCAGGATAACAATTTTTACTAGATGTGGGATAATTGGAGTTATTGCCCAAAAGTCTTTCATGAGCAAGCTGTGTTCCTATTGAGGATATTGTCTCTGGAACACATTACTTCCAAAAACTTAAACTCCTTTGGAAAAAGTCTCAAGACTCCATTGAGTCAGACCAAAACAAAAAACATTCCATATTCACATTCTCAGCCTGATCAACTTTCTCTGTCCATTCTGAATAAAGGCAAGCTTGAAGACTGAAACCATTCAACTGAAAACCACTTTCAGTTTGGGAAATTATAATATCTCGCGTCCCATACTCCCTAGCTGGACAGCTTACTCTTAGCCCTTAGTTTTGAGTAGCCATAGGAGATTTTTCACCACTTGCAAGAGATTATAGAGCTGTCTAAATCTAAAATTGAGATTAAGAGAGCCAGGTTAACATGCTAACTACAGCAAGCATTTGCTTTAAGGCTAGTAAAATGTTCAGACTGAAAAGCAAATGACCTGGTTAGACTGTATTGTAACAACCCCAAGTGCCCTAGAATTTTTTTTTAAACCGCTCAGCATGGAGACCAGAAGTGATTGTTCCAATTATAAACTCCAGCCCTTGCACAAAGACAGGAAATAAAATCCACTGTGTGACTCCAACAAAAGCATCATAGCATAAAAGTATCAAAATAGACTGGACTTACTGACATATCTAATTTTAAGATGCAACTTAGGTTAGATGCAACAAAGGTTACCTAAAATTATAATAGTCACTACCACTCTATGAATGCTCACAACTTCACATGAACTAGTTCAAACTCAGATGTTTCTCCACTGCGTTAGAGACAGGAAAAAAAACAACTCTCAATCAATTTTATATTACACTAACAACTTCAAACCTAAAAATAAAAAGATAATTAAAAATAGCAAGCATTTCAACAGATTCTTTAACTGCAGCTAGAACATTTATTTAAAATCCCAGAAGTGCACAAGGCTTCAATTGTTAGTTCTCCTGCACCCATATCAATYACAGTACACAGGAAACTTACAGGAAAATAAATTTTCCTAAAGGTGTGCTGAAGATAAATGTACTTGTCCAAGTGACAATCTCTCCTTAAAAGTGAAACTATACAAGTGATAACTGGTTGTGCCAACCTCCTATTTATTGCACAGGTCTAATGGAGGCTTTAATAAATAAGCATTTAAGAGAAAACTAGAGTAATCATTGTAGAAGTTCTGCAGGTAGCTGTTCACTTGTTTTAAATTACTGCCTTCCATGCTCAAACCATTTAATGTACTTCTTATTCAGCTTATACATTTATCAGATAATAAATATTATCATCATCTTTTATATGGCTTGGTCAAGCAGGCAGAAACAAGATGTAGTTTCAGGTTCAAGACTATTCTGCATAGTTAAATTTTGGTTATCTAAATCTGCCCAAACTGTACGGAAAACTGGGATACACACAGGCTTAAAATATTACAAAGGTCTGCTGAAGAATTAAGTTGCTCTTTGTCAAAAATCATGCAGTCTTTAAAACCTGAGCCCTTTTTCTACAATTAGATTTTCAGTCTCTGTATCCCATTTTATCCCTCTCTTCTTTAAAGAAGAGTCCTCACATTACTTTTAAGCCTAGAAAAAACTTCTGAGTCAAAAGCAGACTTATTTTTGTAGAAAGTACATGGAATCAACAGTCACCAGTTACAGGTATGTGCACTCCACCACAGTGCCAGGTTTTAATATCACAAGTGTTTAAACTACCACACTAACCCTTTCTGAACAAGAGATGTAATCATTCCATAGCATTTTGAAAGACATTTTTCCTCTCCAGTGATAAAAGCCTAGACTAATATATTTTCTCCTGTTACATAACAAATTAGCAACACTAGCAGTTAGAGATTAGTTCCAGACTTTCTGAGCAAACAAAGTAGCAATAGCACCTTTCACATGCATATGATACATATATGGGATTTCACCTATATAGACTTGTCTTCGACTCATTCATGGTGCTGAGCTCTTGGAAGGCATACATTTTACTCCCATCACCAAAGCTCCCTATATATTAGCTACTTACAGAGAAAATGGGCAGGGTGAACCCCACTGTGTAGAGGACAGTGGATGTGATGGTACTGTCATGGAACGGATACTTGATGCTGTCATCATTACAGAAAAAGCCTCTCTGATACGGTTTTATTTTGGCCAAGTTTAGAACACCAAGGGGTAAGCCAGCTGTTGGGGGAAGGAAAACAAAAAAAACAAAAACAAGAAATACATGTGGTTAAATCAAAAAAAAAAAATCATTTCTAAACATGCATGGAGGAAGCGGCCAAACATGCATAACTCAAATTTCCTAAGTATCATGCAATGCATACACTTACCAAGCCCTCTTTATAGACATTTCTTTTTTATAAGATTACTTCAAAGAGACTCTGATGTTGCCCATCAGGTGTTAAAAAAAATACAGTTCAAAGTCTTCCATCCATAACATGAGTTGCCATACACTGAATCAAGATTATGTTCAAGAAAATGCCTTTGCCCCTCACACAACTAAATAGTTACTGAGGGCTGGCAGCCTTCTGTGCCCCCTCCTTTGCCACCACCCCATGATCCTGACTTGTATCTGATATGCCAGCCTTGTTCTACACACTACAATCTGGTCAGATCTGGTTTACAGATAAGACAAAAAAATACACACAAATTTTGCCATAGTTAACGAGGTAAATATTTCATGCAGACAGTTTTCATGCAGGTAATGGGAACAAGAGAAATGTAGGACACCAATGGACACTTTGGATGGATTGCATCTCCAGGTAATTAACCTTAAGATTGCATTTACACAATTTCTGTACATTTTGGAAGATTTCTGCATGAAAATAGGCAAATTATCAGCATAGCAACTGAGACCCAGGTACAAATTATAGCTCAGAATTTACACACTGTGACATACTACCTCTCTTACAGGTTAACTAGCCCTATACTGACAGTCATGCCAAAGAAGCCATCAAGGCTTTTGACAATTATATTCAGGTCTGACTTATTTCTGATAAGAATCACCTGCCATGGAATACACATTTGCAGGAGCAATAACCTCAGGAAATCCAACTTCCTTTTCACTCTACTTTCTCATAGAATCATTTAGGTTAGGAAAGACCTCCAAGACTCCAAGTTCAGCCTCCAACCAAATAACACCATGCCCACTGTCCCCCTTTCCTTTGATCAACTGAGCAAGCAATAGATTAAAGTGCATAAATTATGTAATGCTAAATCCCCAAGCAAAACAAAAAGTGGACTTTGTTTTAATGCATTGTAAAAAAGGGCAAATAACTTTGTTTTCCCCAACATCCATATAATATGCAGTTCTGCAAATAGGTGTTATATATAGAAATTAGAGGATAAGTGCAATTACTGAAGCAGTAAAGACTACTCAGTATATGAACAACCAGCTGCACAGAGAACAAAACACCTTTCAAAAAAGGTAACATGATGAGTGATTGCTTTGATTTCTGATGACACCTGTTGACTATCAGGTAAGTAGCTTAAAGGGGTTTTGTGTAAGCTTGTTTCCATATACTTCATTACAAGAAGAGACATCAAGAGTGAAACGGTAGAATTGYGTCATAAATCCTGGCCCCTTTTTTGGGCTGCTGAGCTGCAGTGCAAAGGCTTGTGAAATGCATATGGAAACTGTATATGGTTGGTAGTACCCCAGCTTTCAACTCATCTTCTACAAAAATTGCTATGGCCACAGAAAACAATTTGGGAGTAACTTAAATCCTCTTATAGAGCAGAGAGAAATCTTTTCCACAAAAGATCTGAAATATGAAAGCTACCCACACTTACAGATACTTGCTACCCCACACAGAAAAAAAATGAACAAAAAGACAAATGGCATCAAGCTTATTCAACTTTAAGCAGAAAGTTTTTCATTAGGAAGCATGGTATACCATTGAATAAACTATATCTTAAAGGTCTCTCTCCTTCCTTCTGCTCTGATGACTGAGAAAAGAGCTAGAGCTTGACCAAGTACAGGTGGCAAAAGTAGGTGAAACAGAATTGCAGCTCTTCAACCATGAAGGGAGCCATACTGAAGACCTCACAAAGTTCACTCTGACCAAAGGGCATTGCTGTACTTTTATATGCCTGGAGCCAAATTTCAGCTACACTCAAGGCCATGGCAAGATTCCACTAACATAACAGAAACCAGGGTTCCTGTCTTTACCTCTTCAATTGCATACCCAGCGCCAGATAATGGGATTATCACTCCATCATCCTATTTGATACAATCATATCTTCCCAAACAGGTCACCAGATTTTCCGACATGGAAATATCACATGCTCATGATTAACTTAAGCACCAGCTTTTGTTTTGTACAAGTGGACTACTTCACAGATATAAACACACAGTTTTCAAGAAAAGCTGTAGCAACCTAATATCAAGAACTATAACATATAATGAATTTTCAGCCTGGGAAGAGGGGAAAGTGAAAAGCAGCAAATAAAAGGGTCAGATGAGAAGAGTTTTAAAGTGACTGCAAAATTCATCTGCATAGTCTACATGAAAAGAATTCAATTAAAAAGGAAGTTGGTTACATCTTACACTGACTACCCATTTCCATTTTTTTCATTACTGTTAAAATTCTTACTGCAATCTAAATAATGCACTGCTTTCCAAGAGAGCAATAGAAGATTTTGTGAAGTGGTATTCAGTTGATCAGTAACCTATCCCAAAGAGTGCTAGCATTTTTACTGTTGCTCATTTTACAGGGAGAAAAGACTTAGCACATGTAAGCAAACAGTCCTGAACTTTTCACTGTAAGCAGAAAAACACCCCATCACTAATGTGCATAACTGGTCAATATTCCCACTGGAAGTGCCAAGCATCTCCATGACCTTTAAGCAGGCTGAACTTCTGAGGAATGTACTTATGTTCAGTCTCATTAGGTTCTACAAACTGGAGCAAAGAGCGACCAAGATCTTGTGCAAGATCGCCAGGCTAAAAGGCAATCTTGTAGAGTAGCTCTCATGCCTTATCCTCTTCACAGTACACCTTCTCTTCCTTTTCGCCTACCCAGTACSAGCAGTAATCTCCAAGGTGCTCTTCTGAACCAGGTAACCTTATACCTTTAGGCATCTTAATGGCTTACTTGTTACTCGTATCCTACAAAGCATGACCTTCAGCTGCAAGAAAGGACTATTACTTGAAGTTATCTGTTGTTCAGACTGGAACATGTCAGAATTGGAGTTTATCTATTTTCTGGTAACATTTGTGCATCTTATCTTGTCTAGTGACCAACAGATTCTGGGCTAAGGAGTAGCAAGAAACAGCAGTCCTCTGATCTGCTTTCTCTCCCCTTTAAATATAAAGAGAAAACAACCTGGTCACTCCACGGCTCTGTAATTGTTACAAAAGGGCATGCTTCTGCAAGGCTCACACGAAGACTCTAGCTAACCTCCAGGCCAGGCTGGATGGGGCTTGCAGCAACACAATCCGATGGAATGTGTTCTACCCATGGCAGGCATATTGGAACAAGATAATCTTTAAAATCGCCTCCACCCAAAATGCCCTGTGGTTTTATAACCCCAAAAGTTACAGATGTAGTAACAAAGTTGAATAGGAAAAGAGACTGCAAAGGTTTGAAGCCTTTACCTATGAAAGAAAGGTAAACAAGTTTCCTACACACGGACAAGAATAAAAGCAAACAAAGTAAAGAGAGAGAAAGGAAAGATAGATGCTTGAACTACTGGGCAGGGATTGCAGGAAAGGAAAAGCCTTAAGTTTTTGGCTAAAACTGTAAGAACAGGGCAACACATTTTTGTTGCACAGTGAGGCTAATCTAGTTACATTGGGTAAACTGATCTCACAAGGAGTTTCCAATTCTAATTCGTACGTCCAAGCCAGTTGCAGTGTAGTTTCCATAGAACACCTACGGTAATTCACAGTAACATATATTGCCTTCAGGAACCGTTTGACCACATCTGGCTGCATGACATTGCGCTACAAATGCCTATAAAGAAGGAAGGAAGGGAAGTCCTGGGAGAATAGGGAGGAAATCCTTGTTGGAATGGTCCACCACCCATAGAAAAAGAATGTTAAAAATACCAGTACTCAAGGGGAGAAAGTAAAGTCTTCCTTTTTTTACCAAAGGAAGTCTGTTGAATAAAAAAAATGTTGATTTCTTATATTTTTAGTGGTGTTTTAAGACTAAAAAAATTCTTAAATTCCCCAGTTTATACTTCAAATGGAAGTGATTATTATCAATCCATCAACTTTTTAATGCTGCACTACTGTTCTGATCTGTGGCATTTATCACACCAGCAATTTTAGGGTTAGGTGTTTAAGTTGGGAGAGTCAGATTGTGACTCTCAGGTATCCATGCAGATTTGGCAGCAAGCTACATATTTTTCTTAAACAGGAGAAAAGTCGCACTTTTAGCTGAATTAGTGTCTTTTATAGCAGTTGCCAGAAATATTTAAGACCACCAAAGAATATTGTTGTTCTRTGTCTAAAAGGGAAGAAACTCAAAGTTTCTAATAATTTCAGATACTGTATTACATAGTTCAGAACCAGCTTGATTATTAAACAAAGRTTTTTCCTTATGCTGCAATGGACTCTAAGTGTTAATTAAGAGAACCTGTACTAGACTAACATGAGACTGAGAATAACTTCTGTTTCTCTACAATTACCCTGAAAAATACAATACACTCTGSATTTGATATGCTGATAAAATCAGCTTCAGGTTTTGTAAAGAAATATACAATTTACYGTTCAGTTAGGGAATGTCAAACAGTAATTCTAGCTGTATCAGAGAAATAATGAAATACTCTATAACACACAGCAAATTATTTCCTCAGATCAGCTATGTTTAACAACTTACATTCTTATTAGACACATGATGCTGTTCATAGCCCTACAGAAATGTCACTATTTCAAGCTAAACCTATACAGCTGGTAATTACTACCAAGAGCGAGAGAGAATTTCAGTTSTCCTAGTCTTAGATGTGTATTTTTWCTTTTATTTTCAGACAGGACAACCATGTTTGCTTTGCTGTTCGTTCTTCAGAGTACAGTCTGGGGTGAGGAAGTACGCAACGCAATTTAAAGAAACTCAGGTCAACCTCATGCTACTGGAGAGAGTTTGAAAATATCTGTTAGAGATACTGTTCTCTGCAGAAAAGGAGATGGGCTGAAATTCTTTTTCTATGAACAGTCAAGAGAAAGAATCAACATC